GGTGGCGGTCAGATCGTTGAGTGTATGCGTCAGATACAATGTGAGTGTGTGTGTGTGTGTGTGTGCGTGTGTGCGTGTGCGTGTGCATGCGTGGAAACGTGAGTGAGCACGCAAAAATCATACGGCCTGGCCTGGCCTGTTCCGCACTCAGACTCCACCTCCCACAATGCCTGTCCCCTTGAAGGGGTCAACTGCCAGTTCGCCCCTTCCACGCATTCAAATTGTTTGCACACACACGCGTGCACACACACCCACACACACACACACTCTTAAACACACGCACGCACGCACAAAGACGCAGAGACACGCACACACACGCATGCATGCACGCACACACAGCGCACCTGTACTTCTCAAAGTGCTCCATCAGCTGCCCGACAGCTTCCAGCAGGTTGGCGCACCGCTTGTACTGGTCCCGCCGGTACCCCACCTGCAGGCCCCACCAGCGGCGGCAACAGTGACATGCAACGAGATGAGATCGCATGCCGTCCTTCAAAACGCACATGCAAGGTGATCGCACGCAATCTTATTGCAGTGCGACATGCGATGTGATCGCGCGCAAGGTGTGGAGGCGCATCGCGCCAACCACATGCTGGAACGTCGGCCCCATGGGCACAGCACGAAACGCAGCCTCCACGCCTGCCGCCTGCAACGCAGCATGCGCGGCGGCGCCCGCAACCGCGCCCGCCTGCCACGCATGCAGGGGCGACCGACCGCGCGGCGCCCCTGCAGCAGATACCGGATCAGAGTTATTGGGCGTGATTTTTCACCCCGCGCACCTGTTCGAGGTCGTCGACTGCGGCGGTGAGCATGGCCAGGCGCCGCAGCGACGTGATGGTGGACGTGAGGTGGCGCTTGGCGTAATCCAGCTTGCGGATGTCCCTGGATTACCGAGGAGTGAAGTTGTGATTCGCTTAGTTCCAAGTGATATGGATGCCGTCATGAGCGTGGGGGCCGGCGGGACGGCACAGGACTGGGGGGGTGGAGGCAGCGCCCCTCAAGGTAGGGGGCTGGGCGGATGGCGGCAGGGGCGGCGTCATGGGGCGGGAGGGGGGCGGCGCCAGTGCCGCGCGGAGCGGCGCCGGAGCGGCCTGTGAAGCCCCGCCGCGGGCTGGCGCGGGGCCGCCCCAGGCGCTGCGCCGACCGCTGGCTGCTGGCGTTGTGATTACACGAAACAACATCCAAGGCCGGGAAGGCCGGCCCCCCCAGGTGCCAGCCGAGGCCGCGCGGTTGCTCCTTATTATCATGCGATGCGCCCCACTCGGCCCCAGCCTCGCCAGCCGCCATGAAAGCGCAGCCGCCGTGCGCATAAAGCAGCCACACCCCAGCCGCGATCTCAACAGTCCCCCGCTGCAGCCCTCCCCTGTTTCGGCCCCACGTCGCGGCCCCAGGTGCAGGCCTGCCCCCCATCCAATTGCCCTGCAGTACCATCCAGTCCTTTCCTGCACCATACGTCCCTGCACTGCCCCCTCCGCTGCCCTCCACTCGCACACCCCAAGCATACAAACTCATGCAAATGCACACACACACACACACACACAAGCCTGCGCGTGCATGCACACACGCACGCACACACACTCACACAACCGCCTAACTCGTGCCAACGCTTCAAATTCGCTCTGCACCAACATGTCCCTTCTGCTACTGCCATGGGCAGCCCTGCTCCGTCCTCCCACCACCAGAATCAAACCGTGATTCACAAAACCCCACAGATGCAGTGCGCAAGCACTTGCACATCTCCCGCCTCAGCCCGGCATTCCTACCAACACTCAATCCTCAAAACGCACGCGTGCATGCTCACACACACACACACACATCAGTACACGCACGCACGTAGCCGGCGCACGCACCTGCATATCTCCTGCACCAGCACCTCCGTGTCTGCCGCCTTGCGCTGGATGTCCCGGACGCGTCCAAACAGCTCCCCCACCTGCCCAGTCGCAACCCCCAGGTCCTGCCTGCTGCGCGCCTGCCCGCCCGACTGCTGCCGCACGGCGCTGAAAATCTCCCTGTCGACGGATTTGATCTGCGGGTTGCGCCGCATGTGAGGCAGTGGTGATGGGAAAGGGCTGGCCGCGCGGCGCGGTGTGGTCAGCATGGTGGGGTCCGCACTGCAGAAAGGCCGCTGCTGCAACCGACGAGGCCCGCGAGGCGATCAGGGCGTCACCTGCTTGCGGAGCATGTCCATGAACTTGTCCAGATCCCCCAAGGACGCCTCTGCAACGGCGCGGCGCGGATCAGGGGCGTCCGTCGCACGACAGCGGCGCGAGCAGCAGCGGCAGCACTCGCGGCAGCGGCAGCGGCATGCGGTGTCGCCACGGCGCGTCGCCCACCGTCCGGATAGATCTGATTGATGAACTTGATCGGTTGAAAGTCGTCTGCATCGAACACGTCCTTCTTTCGCTGGAACGGGGTGTTGAGGATGATGTCTTTCTTTCCCTGCTGGGCAGAGGAGCCCGCCCCGCTGGGGCCCGCATCGCTGGAACGCGTCTCCATATGATTTGAAAACAGATAAGCCTCACTTAACCCCGCCCAGCTGGCCGAGGGTCAATGCCGGATCACTATCTCATACTGAGCTCAAGGCGACGCCATCCAGCGGCTATATACGACGTCTTGAGGACACAGGAATCCTTGCAAGAGCTGCAACAAGCGATCCAGCACACCTGGTTCGGCGGGGGGGCGGCAACTGCTCTGAACTTCAGTCAAGACCATGTGGGCTGCCCGAGGCCGGCCGGCAGCAGAAAGTGTGCGCGTTTCTACACGCACATGTGCCAAAAAGAGACCCCCACATGGCGGCGCTCCAACATTCTCCTTGCCACAGCGCGGCAAATCTGTTGCCCGCCACGCGGCCGCCACCGTTGGCTGCTGCCTCGCGACAAAACGCCATCACCATGCTCTCCGCTGCATGCTGCATTCTACCGGGCCCCTGACTGCAGTGCACTGCCCATGCATAGATGGCAGGTATTCGATAGGCTTGATGCTGGGTTGCATGTCTCGGGGTAGCTCTGCCTTGTGTCATGTGTGTTATGCCCGACCTTGCACTGCAGAGGTGTGCCAGCCGCACAGCCCAGGCAGAGGCGCCCTGCCCCTGCCTGAGAGACACCCTTTTCCACGTCGTCATAGGCAGATGCAGAAACCAGGGAGCTTACACGACAACAGAAAACATCACTGGACCCAAATCAGCCGGAAAAACCTGCATCGCAGCGCGTGCACCCCCGCGGCACCGCTCGCCGCCCTCGCCCAGAGGGCAGCTGCGCCGCCGCCGCCGTGCGGTCAGCGCTGCCCCAAGGGCGTGCCGCGGCGCGGCCGCCTAGTCCATGCGCCCTTTCAATGTGCGGGCGATGACGCCCTTGTTCTTGTCGATTACGTACACCACGGCGCCCCAGCCCGCCAGCGCGTCCCTGTCGATGCCGCTGAGCAGGCACTGCGCGAGCGTCTCAAAGAGCTCGTCAGCCTCCAAGTCCGGCCGCCACATGCTCTCGCACATGCCGAACAGGCTCTCGCTGTTGGTGCCTGTCACGATAAAGTCGGCCGCGGTCTCGAGCGCCCCGATGGAGTCCATGCCGCACAGGAACGGCTTCCCGTCGGGCTCTAGCCCGGCGACCACTGGGCTGGCGAAGTAGGGGCCGAAGCGCTTCTCATACAGCATTGAGGAGAGCAGGTTGCCGAACGTCGACGCCTTCATGTCCCGCTCCTCCCTGAGTTTGTACATGTTGTGGCGGAAGACGAGGCGCTCGAACAGCGTCTGCGCGTCAGTGGCGAGGCCCCCGAGGCCGACGAACAGGCGGTCGTGGATCTGGAAGACCTTCTTGTAATCCGTCGTCATGGTCTGCAGCTGCACGCCAAAGCGGAGGTCCGAGCCGATCGCGACGCAGTCCTTGCCGGCCATCGCGATGATGGCGGCGCCATTGTATGTGTAGATCGACATGGCGTGCGCGCCGCCGCCGCCGCCGCCGCTGGTTTAATTATGCTGACGCCGCCGCTGCTGTTGCTGCTTCCGCTGCCGCGAAGCGTGCGTCGACTGGCGTGCGCCTCCAAGTGTCGAATGCGCTAGCGATGTTGTTGCTGCGGGCCCGAGGAGCGGTGGGGTGCGGGAAGGTATGCCACTTGTGCCGGAGATTCACGGGCGCGCCAGTCTGCCAGGGCGTGTTTGCATGCGGCAAGTAGGAAAGGCGCTGCGGCGGGGGATGCAGCCCTGCTGCTGCTGCACACTCCGCCCGGCGTGATCAGCCATGCACGCGTCATACCGCTCAACGGCAGATCTGCCCCAGCCCTTACTCTGTCAGGTTTGAATTCATTTCACGCTGACAAGCAAGTGCATGCGCTCCAGAGCTGCATCATGTAAAGCACCGCACCTGCTTCTGCCTCCGGGCTCCCGCTAGGCTTGAGTGACTAGATTAATAAAACCTGATTCCGCAAACAAATGATCGGGCAGCTCGTTGCTGCTCCTCGAAATGCTTGATCTCTGCCACGATCTGTGCTGTCCCAACGTGAGCGTCAGAAGGCTGTGAAATATACTTCGCTTCCGTTTGTGCTAATGTCAAACGGCACAATACGTTGCAGTGCTGTTCATGGATTGATTACTGTATGAGCCTTGCCTGCGGTACTCCCACACGCCCCGTGACGCCCAGACGCCAATGCTGAACCTGCTCACAGCAGCCAGTTTGAAGCCCACAATCCTTGTTCTGAGATCAATCTAGCCTTTGGCGGGCTGTCAACATGTGTGCATGCACGGACGCCGGTGTCCATTCTGATGAGAGGCCCCACAGCACACAACTGCCACGTGAGCAGCTGCACACACTCGTGACACTCTGACGCACCTGCTGGGGGCCATTCTGGCGACAAGGCCGAAACAGCAGCTCGCCGAATTACAAGAATTTTATATGATCATAGTTGTGCTTCAGAGTGCCCTCCTCTCCATGAGCACGGCACACTCGATGGCTTCTCGCTCTGCCCAGCTGGTTGCAGCCACTGAGCCACGACCGACTCACACTGGGTGCCGCAGCTGCGTCCGCCGCAGCAGTGACAGCGTCTGGTGACCGGGTGAGGCTGGGAGTGTTTGGGCTCCACCTAACCTTCACTTGGTGTGTCATTTGAACTCTCCGGACACCATTGAAAGCCTGAACCATCCCCTGACTTTCACTGTGTGTCACGTCAACGCTGCGGCCACCGCTGGAAGGCTGAAACTTCCCCTGACTTTGCCAAACCCAAGCGCGGCTGTGGCGCCGGCTCCTCAGTGGCGGCATCGACGCGCACCGCCAGCCGTGTTGCAACGCTGCTATAGCTGTTCTGGCCTGGCCTGGCTTGCCCTATGCCGTCACGCGTCATCCCTACCCGCTGCAAAAATATGACCATGGACGCTTACAAAGCTGTTGGCGCTAAGACGCCAACAACACGGCAGAACCGTCGGGCATCAAGCAGCCAAGTTACCAACATCAGCACATTGTTGTTTGGCCGCCTGTTGCGCCAAAGGTGCAGCGCCACAGCTGCCCTCGGCTGCGACTGCACTGCTCGCTGCAGCCCCCAAGGGCGATTGCGCGGTCATCGATGCATTATGGCGAGGGCGCCATTTGCGCCAAGGCGGCGGAGCGACCCACCACGCGCACACACAGCGTGCTGACGCTCGGGTGGCTCGCTTTCGGAGCGCAACCACGCGCGTTGGAAAGTCATGAGCGACGAGAGGGCTTGTGTGCAGGTGCACGTGCGAGGTGCCAGAGTGTTTAGAAGCACGAACGACGTATGCGGGGAACAGCTTGGCAGACCAGCGGTTGCTGGCTGCCCAGTGCCGTGAATGTTCAACATGCATGATGAGGCGGCGATGCGGAAAATTTGGTTATGATGTGTCGCATGTCTTAATGCCGAGCTGCGCTAGGCTTCACCGCTTGTTATTCACCAGCCGCGCAGGGCTGCATGCAGGTTGTTGCTTGGTGGGGCCAAAAAAATGAGGTTGCGCTGCGCGAAAGACGGCACCCATTGGCGGTTCGAGTCAGCGGGGCGGGACGCCCTGGGGT